CAGTGTGAATATTATTATTATTATTATTATTATTATTATTATTATTATTATTATTATTATTCATATCCTGCCTGACTCCCAGTGACTCTGGGTGGTTTATAAATTGTTTAAAAAAACCCATTAAAACAAGAAAACAACACAAAACAAAAAAGAACAAAGAACAAAGAGGACAAAAATAACAATCCCAGATGGAAAAAAGAAAAAAAAGACAAGGGGATTTCAATCACACTAGCCAAGGGCCTGGGCGAAGAGCCAGGTCAGGCTCTTGATTAATTTAGATTACAAATATTGAATATTAAAAAATCCAGATGTTGGAGCATAGCCAATTCTAGATTCAAATATAATTCCATTGTGTTTTTGCATATATTAGCATACTCAACATATTAGTTTCTCTCATAGCTCATGCCCAATATACCCAGACTTGGAAACCTTACCATAGCAAATTAAATAGTAATTGTTTCTTGAGTGGTGATAAAAAACTTCCTCTGAATTTCCTTTGAATTCTTAGCTATATATTAAAATGCATTAGTTATAGTTATTAATGTTGTGAGAAAAAGCACAGCACCTGTATTCATTGAGTAATTAAACAAACATGGCTTTACCTTGCAGCCTTGCAGTACTATTGTATGATAAAGGATAATATCACAAATAGATGAAATGATAATAATTTGAAATAATTATTGATAAATAATTGAAATAATAATATACAGCCCAACTCTCAATTACTCTTGGTGGCTCACAATAATCAAACAAAGAAATTACAATCAAATCAATGAAACATAAAATATAAAGATAAAAGATGGCAAGCATGATGAAGTGAGGGGTCTCACTCTTCAGTATGTTTAATTAGAGATGGGAATAATGCAAACAATTTGCGACCTTTTAAAAATTAATAAGATATGGAGGTTAAGCACATAGAATATCCTAAAGCATAGGATGATTGCTAAGTACTTAAATTTTTTACATGAGGACAGTGCAAAAAATAGAAGCTATAGAAAGAAGAGGAGAGGAGGAAAGAATCCACTGAGGAAGCAGAATCTTGCTCACCTGATGTTGGATTTTGCCCTCTATAAAGGGACTCATGGGTAAAGAAGAAATGAGATGGCTTCAGTTTACCAATCTAGAATTATGTTTAATTGCTCTGTTTCAAAGTTCACTTCTTCATATACTTGGTTCTTTATGCATGTTCCATTTATAAAACCTGTAATGAAGTTCAAAAGGAATTTTAATTTCATTATTTTATGTTAAGATTCTAAACAAATAAAATTGTTCAGGCCAGTACTGGATTCCTTAGATATGCATATTTAATTTCTGACCCGTAGGCAAGAATGCTGCTTAATATTCAGTAGCAGAGTTAACTGCAATATACTATGGAATGGGACTCTTCGAGTCTGATATTTGGTTGGGGTGCTTCTTCATGGAAAAGTTAGTATTACCCATTTCTTAAGCTAGCAGAAAACTATATCCCCCCAACATAAGGTTAATACTAGAAGAGTTAATGGTGACTTTAAGCTGACTTGGTTAGTTAAGCTGACTTTGGATGAGAGAAAGGAATTGTCATGAGGACAGTGCAAAATAAAAAGGTGCTGGGCCATGTCTGTACTAGGTTAAGTACAAGTGGGGAAATGCTCTTAGTTTCCCCAGCCAGATATCCAATGGCAGTGACATTTAAGAAGCCAAGGTACTGCTCCTGTGCTGCTTTGTCTCTGGTTTCCTTCATCCTAATTTATGTTTAGATTCTTAGTTAATTGAGTGGGAGTAATTGGCCCCGTTATTTTCTAGGCAGGGACTTGATTTTACATTAATTTCTGAACACAGTATGGAAGGCCACATCTTGATTTTGTGCTTATTTTGCTATTTTCTTGATAGGAAAGGTCTTTTGTGGCCTGATGCGCTACTAAATTTATCTAAGCACGCAGTTGCCCTGAACGAACTGTAACTTTCCAGAAGAGGTGGACTGACAATGTATTCAGTGAAATGCTGAGTACTGATGAATGTACTGTTTGTCTTGGTGGATGCTATTGTCTCTGTAGGCATGGATGGGTACAAATATGAATCTGACTTTCCCCTTACATTCATTTCAGAAAAGAATAGTCTCTCTATTTCTAATGTTATCCTAACCTCTTACTGTTATAATTGCAAGTGTTTTGATAAAAGGTATCATATCAGACTTCATAAATATAGTTTGAGATTGTAATATTTGAAAACGTGATGTAAGCTGATAGAAGCAGTATAAAGCTCATGATGCTGAGACAACAAACATCTTTAAAAAGAGGAGCAGAAATAGATATTCTTTTTGGAATACTCACAGTACTGAATAATGAAAATTGGCGTATTTTTATTTTTTGTTCAATTTATTCCTCAGTTCTATAGAATGATGATGATTCTTTTGATTGAGATTTAGTGGGTTTTGAGTTCTTGTTGAGTCCTTATTCTAAATTTCTTTAAGAAAAATGAAGCAATTATTTATGTACATTGAGCTTCAGAACCTACTGCATATTATGCATTCACATTTAACTTAGACAAACAAAAATCTGCTAGTATGACATTGGCTTCTGTCTATAAAACCTCAAAATACATTTATATTTTGAAGGTTTGCAGAATATGAAAGTTTCTTCCAAAGCCTGTTTAAAATTAGGTTTGAATTATTAGTCATGTAATACATTTATATTCCTTTAATTAATCATTTCAATAAAGTTGCCTATTTATTTTATTTGTTTATTTATTTAATTATT